GGAGCCCCCACTGGGGCGCTGGGGGCGCGGGGAGGGAGGTGGGGGAGGTGGTGTGCGTCGCGACGCGCGGAATAAAGCGTTCGTGGCGGAGGGGCCAGTGGGCGGGGCTCCCACTGGGGCGCTGGGGACGCGGGGGGGCTCGGGGCAGAGAGCCACGGCGCGGGGGTCCCACTCTGGCGCTGGGAGCGGGGGGGGGGGGGTGCGACGCGGAAGAAAGCGTTCGTGGCGGAGGGGGCAGAGAGCCACGGCGCGGGGGTCCCGCTCTGACGCTAGGGGCGCGGAGAGGGGGGTGGGGTGCGACGCGGGATAAAATGGTCGGTGCTCTAGACACCCTGTGCAAGAGAATAAATGATCTGAGGGCTGCCTGCGCCCGTAATGTGCGGTGCTGCTGGCGGGAGTGATTCCTCGCTTCGCCCTGGTGTTGCCCCTCTCCTTGCGCTCTGCGCGTTGCTGCGTGTCCTTGCTGGAGCTCCCCCTTTTTGCGTGGCTGCGGCACTGCCGTTCGCCGCTCTTTGCTCCTGCCCCGGTGTGGTGGGCTTTCCTCTTGCGGCCTCCAATTGCCTCGTGGCTTGTCCCGCAGAACTGTTGGCCGGACTTGCCGCTTTGGTCTCTCGTCGCCTGGGGCGCAAGCACCCCTGGTGCCATTTCGGCCCGTGCCCGGGGGTGGACTTGCTGGTGCTCGGCCATGTCTTGCACTGCCTACGCCGCATCTGGATCCTTGCGCTCCACTCATGTGTTGGAGCGTTTTTTTTTTTTTTTTTTTTTTTTTTTTTTTTTTTTTTTTTTTTTTTTTTTTTTTTTTGTTTTTTTTTTTCCGTCGGTCCATTAGACTAGACGGCGGCTTTGCCTGCGCCCCAGACGGGGCATGGGCCAGCCTGGCCGCGGCCAGCTCCTCTTTTAGACGCGCTCTCCAGGCTTCGTCTCCGGGTACCTCGCCGCGGCCTTTTTCTGCGCCATCCTGCCCTGTGTTGGACAGTTTCCGCGCTGCCTTGCCGCCTTAGGGGGTGGCCTTTTGGTCGCCTGGGTGGATGTCTCTCCGGGGTGTCTCGGGGGCGCGGCCCGGCGGTGCATGGCGCCTCTCATGTTGAATCGCACCTGTGGCTGGAATTCGCATCTTGACGGTTTCAGCTGTATGTCAGCTTCGTCGCCGGCTGTCTTCGTTGGCGTAGCCCGGTGGCGGGTTCGCTCCCCCAGTTTTTCTCCTCCTGAATGCCTCTGGTCGGAGTGGTGCGACCTTGAGGTGGCGCGTGCAGCTTCTACAGTGCTTGGGTGGTTGTTTTTTCCGTCGTATCGGCTCCACCCACCCGTGGTTGCTGCAGCGTTGGCTGCGGAGGGGTTGACCTTCAACGGTGGCGTCCGCGTCGCGCGTTGGCAGCGCGCGCGCCTGTCCACCACCCGTGGATTTGCCCGCGCTCTCCACCGCCCATGCGCGCCACCGCGTCAATCGGTTGTTGTGGGCGGTCGCCCGCGTTCAGGTTTGATATTTGTCCAGGCGATGTCTGTCTCGGACGCGCGCGTGCCATCGCGCTTCTTGCGCTTGCGCGTCGATTTGTCGTGCCTGCTGCAAGCCTTGTGGCGTCGCTTGTCGCGCTGCTTCGCGTGTCGCGTCGCCGCCAAACTGGATGGTCTGGCCGCCAATTCTCAAGGGCTAGTTCGCACCAGTCTGCTGCTCGCGCTTCAACTCCTGGCGTCGAGCCACGCTCCGCAGGGTGATTGGCCGCTGCGTTTTGACTTTGCAGTGCCTACTTTTTCCCGCCAGCAATCTGCGTGGGCGTGGCTGGATACTGTCGTCATGGCGCGTTCGATCATGTTCGTTTGCTTTTGGCGCCTCCACCTGCCGGCCGCGCCTGGGGCCCCCCTGCGCCGCCGACGTACAGGGTGTGTCTGTGTATGCGTGTGTGTGTGTGTGTGTGTGTGTGTGTGTGTGTGTGTGTGTGTGTGCGAGGGTCCGTTGCCCCAAGCCGTCTGAGCTCGAGCGCGCCCCTGGCTCAGGCGTCGCGCCCTGGCCCCCGCGTGATGGGGGCCGCCGCGGCGCGGCGGCGGCGGCGGCGGCGAGCCCGTGCCGCTGCCGGTCGCCGCGTGGCTGCCGCGGCCGCCGTCGCCCTGGTCGACGCGGGCCCGCCGGGGCTCTCTGGCGCCGCTGGCGCGGCTGGCGGCGCGCCTGCTGCCGCGGGCGCTGCGCTGCCAATCCCGTCGATGCGACGCCGCCAATCTTGTCGACCGGCGCCGCCAATCCATTCGATCCCGCGTGTGCCGTGGCCGCGAATCTCGGGGCGATGAGGGGTATGGGGGGGCCCTTGGGGGGCTGGGGCGGCGGGCCCTAGGCCCGCCGCTGACTCCTGTCAATGGGGCCATGCAGCAGCGTGCAACTACGGGGCCGCGTGGCGACGGTAGGAGCAACGGGCAGGACCTCAGCGAGCAGCAATGGGGCAGCTGCGCAGACGACGAGGGCTGCGCGCCGAGGGGAACGCCCGTCTCTAGCGATGTCGGGAGCTTGCACCTCGGCCGCTCAAGTGGAGTCCCCGCCCAGTCACAGGAGGATGCGGGCGACGCGGGTGGCGCGCAGAGATCTGGGAGAGACGGGGGAGAAGGATGCCTCGATCCACATCATTCCGGTCGCGCGCTGCCTGACGACAGGATCCCAGGCCCAAAGTGACGGGGCGAGCTTGCCCTGCGCCGCCGCATTGCTAACGGCCGCTTTGCGCCGCTGCGGCCTTCTTCGCCCGACAGCGACAGCCCGGGCCCGGTCGAGCGCCGCGGCGGCGGGCGGGCGCGCGAGGGCGGAGAGAGGCCCGCGAGGGAAGCTGGTCCGACGCCCCCAATGGGCGGGCCGCGAGGACGACGCCGTGTCCCCGACGGGCGCGGACGCTCCGGCAAGTTCGCCAGAGCCTTCCCGGCCCGCGCCGCCGCTGCGCCGGCTGGTGAGACCATGGGGCCGGCCCGTGCGGAGGAGGCGGACGGCCTGCTTCCAGCGGGGCTGGGCGTGCGCGGCCGCCCCCCGCGCTCGGGCGACGCAGCTGCGGGCGACGCCAGTGAAGGAGCAGAAGTCCAGAGCTCTCTGGCGCTGGCTGTTCTGTCGACTGGGTCGCGGGCGGCAAACCGGCGACCGGCGCTGCGAGCGGCAGTGGCAACGGCGCGGGCCAGACGCGTGCTGTCCACTGGTCCTCCACCGACCATGATTCGCGCGCCCGCTGCGGAGGCGCCGTTTTGGTGCAGATCTCGACTCGCCCGGAGCAGGGTTGCCTCTGGCTCATTGTCTGGGAGGCGTGGCCTGACTCCCGGTGGGCTCGCGCACGCTGGGGCGCCCCCACCTGGGACTTTAAGAAGGAAAATCCTGTCACACACCGATCAGTCGCTCTTGACACACATCGATGAGTCGCCTGCTGTGCCCCATGACTCATCGAACAATCGCTCTGGGCGCGCGCCGCTCTGTTGCCCTTGATTCGGCCGCGTTTCGCTCGCTCTTGCTTCCGCCGCTTCCGGCCTTAGACCCCATTGCGTTTTGTTTTCTGTCAGTCCTGCCGCGCTCCGGCGACGCTCCCCCCCGCGGCGGCTCGGAGTCCCATTCCGAGCTGTAAATCATGGGGCGCGGGCGAAAGTGCGCGCTCCCACCTCGACGTCGCAGCAACTGTTCTCAGAAAGCGGTTTTCCATTCGTGGGGCGCCCCAGCCAAAATCGCCGCCTTCGTCATAGGGCGGCTTCTTGGATTGCGCATGTCGGGCGCGCATCGGTGGCCGATTTGTTGGGGTCGCCGCCGTCCTTTTCATTCTTCTCCTCATCCCCGCTGGAGGTGGCGTGGCGTTCCCGCCATTTCCGGTGGCGCTCCCCTTTGCGGTGGTTCGGCGATCCCTCCTCCTTTCGGGTCGCGGGGTTCGCTCGTTCGTTGTCGGTCGTGGGTTCACCGCGTCGTTGGGTCCCCCGCCGTCGTCTCTCCGGGCCCCCCTCTTGCCTCTGCCCCTGCTTGCTGTCTCCCCCCCTCTCTCTCCCTCCTCCCGGGTAGTCCCCGCCGCGGGAGGTTGGGCCTCTCCTGCGCGGGCGCATGGCAGTCACTGCCCGCGTGCTACGCCTCGTTTGCTTGTCTCTCCCTCTCTGTGCGTCGGCCCCCTGCCTGGTGTAGCACGGTCCCCTTGGGCTGTGCGTGCCAGTGAGGGGCCACCCTGGGGGGGGGGGTCTCTAGGGCTGGCCTCACCTCATGTGCTCAACCACACCCCCGCCCCAGCTGCTCCCTCTTGTCTGTTTGTTCGGGATGCTGCTTTCTGCAATCGTGCACTTGCTCTGGCATTTATTTTATGGCGCCTGGAACTGTCTCTCCTGGCGCCCTCATTTTCAAGGCCTTCAGAGCTGCTCGCGCTTGGTCGGGGTTCCTGGCTCCGTGTGGGCGGGCCTCCTGGGGTGGTCCCCTTGCGTTTGCCACCGCCGAGGTCTGTCCTGCATGTGATGCGTCTCTGTTGGCTCGGCGCAGGCTCCGCAACTGGCCCTTTTCGCGAGCTTCGAGGCGCTTTCCGTGTCGTCCGAAACGTCCTTCGTCGATTTAATGGCGACCTAGACGTCGGTGCGTACAGTTCACCTCGCGTCTTCCCTTGTGCTGCTGGAGCGGTATTCTATCAATCTATTCTGGTCGGCGCTTCCATTACAGCTTGTTTTTCCCAACCATCCTGTGGTGGGTCCTTGTTTTGAAGAACCAGCGCCCCGCGTTCCTTCCTTCCTTCCCGCTGCCTCCTCCCTCCTTCCTCCTCCCATCCCTTGCCTCTGCTCTCCGCATGCCCAATCCCATTCTAGCACACCCCTCACACGGTTCGTGGCCCCATAGGGAGCTCCACCGAAGGCCCCAACGGCAGGGTCCGCATGCGGGGACCGCCACCCATTTTGGCCCACCCCTCACGAGGATCGAGGCCCCACAAGGACGTCCATGGAAAGCCCTGGTGGCAAGGTCCGCATGCGGGGACCGCCACCCATTTAGGCACACCTCTCACACGGTTCGTGGCCCCACAGGGAGCTCCACCGAATGCTCCAATTGCAGGGTCCGTATGCGGGGACCACCACTAATTTAGGCACACCCCTCACACGGTTCGTGGCCCCACAGGGAGCTCCACCGAAGGCCCCACTCGAAGGGTCTGGATGCGGAGAGCGCCACCCATTTAGGCACACCACTCACACAGATCGTTGCCCCACAAGGAGCTCCACCGAAGGCCCCAGTGGCAGGGTCCGCATGCGGGGACCGCCACCCATCTCGGTACTACCCTCACACGGTTCGTGGCCCAACAAGGAGTTCCACCGAAGGCCCCAGCGGCAAGGTCCGCCCGCGGGGACCGCCACCCATTTAGGCACACCCCTCACACGGTTCGTGGCCCCACAAGGAGCTCCACCGAAAACTCCAGCGGCAGGGTCCGCATGCGGGAACCGCCACAGTTTTTGGCACACCTCTCACACGGTTCGTGGACCCACAGGGAGCTCCATCGAAAACTCCAATGGCAGGGTCCGCATACGGGGGCCGCCTCTTATTTCGGCACACCCCTCACACGGATCGTGGCCCCTCAAAGGGCTCCTCCGAACGCTCCAGTGGCAGGGCGCGCATGCGGGGACCGCCACTCATTGTGTCACCTCTCACACGGTTCGTGGCCCCATAAGGAGCTTCACCGAAGGCACCAATGGCACGGTCCGCATGCGGGGGCCGCCACCCATTTTGGTACACCTCTCACACGGTTCGTGGCCACCGAAAGCTCCAGCGGCAGGGTCCGCATGCGGGGACCGCCACTCAATTCGGCACACCCTTCACACGGTTCGTGGCCCCACAGGGAGCTCCACCGAAAGCTCCAGCGGCAAGGTCCGCATGCGAGGACCGCCACCCATTTAGGCACACTCCTCACACGTTTCGTGGCCCCACAAGGAGCTCCACCGAAGGCCCCAGTGGCAGGGTCCGCATGCGGGACTGCCACCCATTCAGGCACACCCCTCACACGGTTCGTGGCCCCACAAGGAGCTCCACCGAAGGCCCCAGTGGCAGGGTCCGCATGCGGGGGCCGCCACCTATTTCGGCACACCCCTCACACGGTTCGTGGCCCCACAGGGAACTCCACCGAAGACCCCAGTGGCAGGGTCCGCATGCGGGGACCGCCACAGATTTAGACACACCCCTCACACAGTTCGTGGCTCCACAGGGAGCTCCACCGAAGGCTCCAGTGGCAGGGCCCGGATGCGGGGACCGCCACTCATTTCGGCGTACCCCTCACACGGTTCGTGTCCCCACAGAGAGCTCCACCGAAGGCTCCAGCGGCAAGGTTTGCATGCGTTCCCCCGCCCATTTCGGCACACCCCTCACGAGGATCGTGGCCCCATAAGAGGGTTCCACAGATAACGGTACCCACAACGCGGAACTCAGAACTGCATATGCTTGGGTCCTTCGCCGGGATAATTTTGCCCCAGCCTCGGCATGCCACTAACACTGGCCTCCTTTGGTGGCGTCTGCCCACCAAAAATTTAACGGCATGGCTCCGGCCCCGCATGTGCGGTGTTAGCGTCTGTGCGCGCTCTGTCACCACCAATCTAGGTCTAGCGCTTCGCCCATTTTTGCTTTTGCCTCGTGCGTCGCCGGTTCGTGGGTTAGCACTCTACCCATATTTTTCGCCAGGCCTTCGCTTTCTCAGCGCTATTTTGCCTTCGGCTGTTTTTTTTGTTTTTGTATATTAAATTCTGTTGTAAAAAACCTCGCTCTGATGATTCAGCGGCACCAGTTAGCACCAGACTGCTGCTGCGCTTCAAAATACTAGCGTCAAGCTTGGGATTCTCGAGTTTTTTGGCTGCTACACCTTGTCTTTACGACGCCTCTCGTCTTTGACCACCTTTCCGCATGGCCGTGACTGGGCTGATCCATCATGGTGCGTTCGACTAACATCTTTCGTAATTCGCCCCTCCACCTGCCGACCGCACCTGAGGTCCCTCTACGCCGCCGACTTGAATATATATATATATATATATATATGTATATATGTGTGTGTGTGAAGGCTGTTCCGTGAAAGGCTCTTTACCCCTTCTCGGTGGCCAGATCGAATCCCCCATCAGACAAGTCCGCCCGAGCAACAACGAGCCACGTCGTAGTCCAGTCAAGCGAGGACCTTGGAGAGCCTTCAGATGGTCATCCTTTTTCTCCTCCCCATCCTCCAACGACAACGAAAACTACGTCATCTAACTTCTTGTTTCTTGGCTGCGCGAAGCACGACGGTCTTTCCTCCCTCACGCTGCCCCCGCGAGAAGGGCACCTCTTTGCGGCCTCAGACTGAGAAGAGCGCTACCTCTTCGTGCCCCAGCGGGCGACCCAAACGACGACGACGACGTTCACGACGACGACGACCCTCAGTGCGCCCCTGGAATGCATTCTGACAGGACTTTCAACAGAAATCCAGCCGTGGCAACGAGGGCACCCCAGTGGCCTCAACAACGCCCACTCCACAAGATGCCCTACGGCGGCAGCGACGAAGGCGGCGACGATGACTCGGCGGAGGG